AAATGAATAGAAATGCTACATGGCCAGCGGAAAAGGGCGGACACCAGCAGTGCATGGCCAGCGGACACCAGCAGCAACGGACCTGGGAGACACATGAATAGAAATGCTACATGGCCAGCGGAAAAGGGCGGACACCAGCAGCGACAGACCTGGGAGACAAATGAATAGAAATGCTACATGGCCAGTGGAAAGGGGCGGGCACCAGCAGCGACAGGCCTGGGAGACAAATGAATAGAAATGCTGACAGACCTGGGAGACAAACGAATAGAAATGCTACATGGCGAGCGGAAAAGGGCGGACACCAGCAGTGACACAAAGGGCGGACACATCTTAAGAAAGCATTGAGAACCCCTAACCGTAAACTGTTTGGGTAAATTTTTACTATATATTCATATTGAGATATCACCGACTAGATTTTCCAGCACCATCAAACACCAATGAAAATCATCACAGGCCACTAGAAACCAACACAATGCAGCACATATTTCAATACAAATCAATTCGAAAAGATCAGAAGCCATCCAGAAAGCACCATCCTGAAGACTCTAAAGAATCAGGATTAGCTCCAAATAGGAAAGGGTTTCCCACTGGCTTTGCTGGAAAATCTTGGGAGCTGGAAGATTTTCCCTTTTGCCGATGTTGAAGTTGAGACATTGGGGGGTATGGTTTTGATTCTTTAGTGGATCTGCGGAGATTACAAGCATAACACTCAGGTGGTTTTGGGCAGATCAAGTTCGGCTCGAACCTTGTTGTTGTCTTGAACGGTCCACGCCCTAGCTCATCCTTAACTACAGCGGTTGAGTAGTGGTTCGCCTAGTATTGCGCCCGGGCATTGAACCCACGTCCGACGTCATAGCCATTAGACCATACCAGCCATGAGTTCGACTCGAACCCGAGTACACTGGCTATTGTGGAGTTTTTGAAGGCAAGTTACGATTCTTGAGCAAAAAGCATGTTTTTCATTGATTCTTGAGGGGTTTGTCTTTCAGCGTGTTTGCTTTTTTAGTTGCCCCTGTGTACCCGGGACCCTGAACTGTGGGTTCTTAAAAAATCAATCAACCCTGGTTCGCAGGCGAGGTGGAAGGGGAATGTTGAGTTTGTTCTTAGGCAGAACCGTCAAAAGAGAGCTGAGCTGCATACTGCAGTGGGATAGGAAGTGTGTTTGCAAACAGGGCCGGTTTGGGGTTGTGGCGTTGAACCAAGGACAATGTTTGTTTACATATTTGTTTTTTGACTAACTACTATGGTTCTTTCCATGTGATTCAACAGTGCATGCACCAATCTTGACCAAGCATAGACATCAAGAACTAAGACATGTAGAAGGTACTAGCAGCTGCTAGAGAGCTGATTCAGTGGTGCGTTTGGAAGCGGTTTGAGGGCTGTACAGCAAATTTTTCAAAATCTAGCAAGCGTCCGCTGTTTCCCACTATCAACTATCCAACCCACATGTCCCTCAAGCAACGACCATTGAATACCACCCAACCCTGCTAAAAAGTCACTCTCATCCAACGCATACTTCAAATCATATAGAACTGAGGTCCTTTGCAACACCGTGATCTCCTGCTATGAGAAAACCGAAAACTGGCCCATCGCCATGGACACCTTCTCCTCACTCCACCGAACCTTCTCATCGCCTTCAGCGGTGTCCTTCGGAGCGGTGATGAGTACCTGCGAGAAGTCGGATCAATGGTGACTTCGGTGGAACCAAAGTCGACAGTGGATGGCCTGGTGTTTCCAAAATGACATTCTGGTGACTTTCATGTACACCACGGCCAGATGGCGCCCATTCCGAAACCATGTGGCCAGAAGTCCATCATTTTCTCCGTCCTTGGGACACTGCTGGGACATTGTGGCATCCCCAGGTTGTGAACGAGTTTTGTTGCTCACCAGAGCAAGGTTGCCTACGGTGCATTATTGAAATAGGCTTGACAAAGGGCGACGAAGAATGTTGACCCTGGATTCCTCGATCATACGTGTTTGCTTACATGTTTTGTGCATCGTATCATCCTAGAAATGCACACGAGGTTAACGGGGCCAACGAAGAACTGGCTGGTTGGGGTGGACCTTGAAGTGCTCATAATGCTAATAGTGAACCGCCACAGGCTCGTCTTCATCACAATGCGGGCAGTAGTGAAAAGACTAACTATACACTGTGTCTCGTTTCTAGTGTAAAAAAGACGCAACAAATCCATCAGTATGGCCGTCTGATCAGTTGAACAAATATACAGTAATGATATGTAATGACCCCATACAATTTCCTCATTGGAACTTTGAAATTTAATAGGTAATTTTTGGGGGTTTGTTCATCCTAGAACCGAAAGGGTATGGAGGCTGACGTTCAACTTCGTGCGCAGCAAGTTCCACTTCCAGCCATCGCCTTTGGTCAGGCAATGGGCCATTCAGATGCTCTCAGAGCTTTATGAGGCCGATCTCCAGGCCAACGTCGCTCGATCCACGGCGTCGCTTTAGCGAGGTTAAAGTGTGTTTGGCATCGGGAGGGCCGAATGCTTTGGGACGAATATTGTGTTGTTTGGCAGGTTTAGAGCGTTTCAACTTTGGCACTAACATGTCGACAACTTAGCAAGATATGTATGTACTGGGTTAGACTGTCTCGCTGGGTGCATCGAGCGAGCTGGCTGTGCACGTGGTGGAGACAGGGTACCAGGTGCTGGGTGCCGGGTGCTGGTGCTGGGCGCTGGTTGCTGGTGCTCTGTGCCGTGAGCTGGCGTGCCGGTGCTCGTGCTGGTGCCAGCTTCTGACAGTGAAGTGACAGTGAAGGGTGACAAACTGCCGCTTGTAGCAGTGAAGGGCGACCAACCGCCGCTTCTGAAGTGCCAGCAGTCATGCGCCGCATGAACTTATGCATGCAACATCATGCGGTGTTGTCGCTTGAGCATTCTTTGTCTATTAGCTCTGTGGGGTATTTACACTCTTCGGGCTCTGTTTTGGCCGACAGCTGTGTCAAGGGCTGTACTGTTTGCGCGCATACTTTTGTACGTATACTGTTCTAAGCTCAACGTCAGGCTCGCAACCGACCATTGCTTCAGCATGTTTCAGCACGCTACACACACAATAGTCGTGCTTGATAGTGTTGTGAGTTAAAATTTTAGCCACAAGGCCGTTTAAGTAATTTATGTGTTATATGATTTTTTATGTTTTAAATATGATTCAATTTATCTTTGGATTTTTTGGTAGTTCTGTTTTATGTTTTATTTATGATTTTTATATGTTTTTATGTCGTCATTTATGTTTTCATTGTGTTTCTTATAAAGTACACTGTTTTTGATCAAATTTCCCTGATGCTTGAATGTCATTGCCTCTTCAGGGTTTCTGTTTCTGTCCTATTGTTCTTGTGTCGAAAAAATTGGTTTGCGACCGGTAAAGCTTGAGGCAAGGCTCGGGCTTTAGGCTCTAGCAACGCAAACCAAGTCACTTTTGACTGCGTCGTAAAAAACCAGACTTCTGCCTAGACGTAGAAATGACCGCTGCCAGTAAAACCAGAAGGCAGGCACTCAAACCAACAAACAAGGCACTGACCATGACCAGGAACACGACTAAGCTTCTCTCTGCCGCGCGTGCACACATGGCAAAATTCATAACATGAAAGGCCCCTTCCTCAGCGTCACAGGGCCGGCCACAGGCCAGGCAGACTTGGCGTCTGCTGCCCTGGCCAGCTCTAGGTGACCTCCCACCTGCCTCTACACTTTCGACGCAGCAGCTCTCGAGGGGCCACTGCGCAACCTACAGACCTCGCCGCTACCTTCCCAGCCACCGCGCCGCGTCCTACCCACACCTGCGGAGACGAGCCGCGCGGAATCATAAAAAAACATAAAAAATTACGCCAGCGTAGACCCCAAACAGAGCAATGTTCAAAAATGAGATCTCCGAACAATATGGCCAGCAGTATTTCCTAGAGGAAGAAAACTATAGTCCACCATGTAGACGCACATACAAGATTCAAAGGGAAAGCATTAAAGTTCTGTTTTTCATTGACTTTACAATGGGACGCCGTACAAGGGCTAAAACATGAAATTTATGGATGCAGGTTGTGACATATGTTGCCCCCCTTGTAAACACGAATGCGCAGACCCAATCAAAATGAAGATTTCCTCAGAGCACGGACACTGCGCTTGGCTTTTTCCTTCCTACGCAGTTGCCTTCTTTGGCTTAGCCATGTACTGCATTGACCTGTGTTTGCCATAGGTCGCAACACTTGACGTAAGAGTGTGTGATTGCTTCGTTGATCATCCGCACGAAAGTAGCTGCCAACCTAAACAGCAAATCGAGCAATGCAACGCTTGTGGTGAAAATATCTGAAAATAGTGTATTTCGATGCAGCCAATGCAGCTTTACTCGAAACACCAGAAATACAACAGAGCAACGACCCGGCCCAGCATCCAGCCAAGCCCGGGGATACAAAGCATCCAGACAGGCCATGGGAAACAAGTGGAAGACAAGTGAGCTTAATTACTGGGAGCCAAGTCGAGACATGTGGGAGACAAGTGTGAAATCATGCGGCCAGAGCACTTAGAGCACCCATTACTGGAAGACAAGTGGGAGACAAGCCTGAAATCACGCGGCCAGAGCACTGAGAGCATCGAGAGCTTACTGGGAGACAAGTGGGAGACAAGCCTGAAATCACGCGGCCAGAGCACTGAGAGCATCGAGAGCTTACTGGGAGACAACTGGGAGACAAGTGGGAGACAAATGGGAGACAAGTCTGAAATCATGCGGCCAGAGCACTGAGAGCATCCAGAGCTTACTGGGAGACAAGTGGGAGACAAGGGTGAAATCATGCGGCCAGGAACACAAGCCCAGAGACAAACTCAAAATCATCCGGCCCGAGCACGCACCCCTTTAAAAGGAGTAAGAACCCCTCACAGGTAAACCTGTTTGGGGAAAAATCACAAACGGAAACATATTGAAAAGATTAAAAAATCATAAAAATATCAAAATGTGCCTGCTTCCGAGCTTTTTTCTTGTTTTTATGTTTTTTAATGTTTTTGATATGACTTTTTGATGATTTTTTAGGTTTTCAATATGTTTTCATTTATGTTTTTTTAAAAATGTTTTCCCGAAAGCATTGCGAAGGGTTCTTCCGGAAAATCTCTTGAACACTGACACTTCTACACTTACACTTACACACTGACACTTCCACACTTGCGCTTGAACACTGACATTTCTACACTTACACTTGAACACTTACGCTTCCACACTTACACTTGAACACTTACACTTCTATACGTATCCCAGTGTAAGTGTACGAGTGAAAGCATCCAAGGGCAAGTATGCAAGTGTAAGTATCCAAGTGCAAAAGTATGCAAGTGTAATGCAAGTGTAACAAGTGTAAGTATCCCAGTGCAATCCCATGTACAAGTATGCAAGTGTGAGTATGGAAAACTTTCACGGGAGATGTCCTGATAAACATTTCCCCACCTTATAAATTCTCTTTTAAAGGCGGAGGGTGGGACGAACAGCGTCAACCGAAAATGCAACCCTTTGCGGAGATCGTGCGTGCCGAGTGCGCGAAATGCAGGCGAGTGCGATGTGTCCGGTGTGCGCGCAACCTTCTGCGGAGATCGTGCGCGTCGAGTGCGCGAAATGCAGGCGAGAGTGCGATTTGTCCGGTGCCCGGACAACCCTCTGCGGAGATCGTGCGTGTCGAGTGCGCGAAATGCAGGCGAGAGTGCGATTCGTCCGGTGCGCGGACAACCCTCTGCGGAGATCGTGCGTGTCGAGTGCGCGAAATGCAGGCGAGAGAGCGATTTGTCCGGTGCCCGGGGCCTCTGCGGAGATCGTGCGTGTCGAGTGCGCGAAATGCAGGCGAGAGTGCGAGTTGTCCGGTGCGCGCGCAACCCTCTGCATGTCGAGTACGCGAAATGCAGGCGAGAGTGCGATTATTTGTCCGGTGCGCACGCAACGTGCGATTTGTCCGGTGCGCGCGTAACCCTTTGCGGAGATCGTGCGTGTCGAGTGCGCGAAATGCAGACGAGAGTGCGATCTGTCCGGTGCGCGCGCAACCCTCTGCGGAGATCGTGGGTGTCGGGTGCGCAAAATGCAGGCGAGAGTGCGATTTTGGGAGCTGGAAGGTGAGAACCGGCGATTTGCTAGTACAACTTTAGTACGCGGAGCAATCTGTGGAGCTGGAAGCTGAG